AACTACAGGCCTTCCAAACATAGCTTGTTTGGTATAGATGGAAATAACAACAATTGTACTTTAAAAAAATAAGCATTCTAATTTGCTTTTACTTTTAGGAGGAGTGGCTGGGCTAAGAAAGATATGACTTTTTATATCCAAAATATATACTACTGCTACATGCACATTTCAATGCTAATTCAGTTTCATTTCTTTGCCTATATGACTTCAACCTGGGTATAAGAGTTTAAGGCCTTGTATTTTAGACCAGGAGAGACCTCATTCTATTATTTTTATGTTTGAGATAGATCTAGCAGGTGGTTCTTATTTGAAAGTCCTCCATGGTTGAGTTATGAGTTATTCTGAACCAAGTAAGCAACCAAAAAGGCTAAAATATTTTGAGTTTCTTCTTTCCTCTCCAGGATTGCAAGTTAGGTTTGGAATGTTTAGGGTTTGGTGAGAGGGCAAGTCTAAGTTTGACTCCTAGGGTCTTTCATGGTAAAACACATGGAATTGCCTGTGGGAGCCAGAGTATAGAGTAGAACTGGGCTTGAAAATCACTTTGGATTTTCATTTCTGATTTTTCAGCTATAAAATGAGAGCTGGAACTTGTTCCTCTTACCTCTCAGAGCCTTACAAGACATGGAGGAATCTTAAACAATCAAATGTTAAATGAGAAAGCTATTTGTGCCTCCTAAAAGGAGAAAAGGATATTAACCTGAGATGATATTATAATGTCTTCCAGAGTGAGGGAGAAATGTAAGGAACTCATAGTGATAATTGAATTTACAGATGTTGTTTCTATTCATGAGCCTGCAGGAAAACATGGAGACCAAACATTTCAGAAAACAAATACCCCAGGACGATTCATTAGAGCAGAATGAAATATTCAAAAACTTATGAGTCTATAAAATATTTTTGGAGAAAATGTGTGAATTTTCCAGAGGAACAGGATTTAATATTTTGTTTTAAAAGACTTTATTAGCTGTGAAATGAATAGAAATATTGGTAGGTTTCCTTTTATCTTTTGCATATCATTTGGCTCATCCAATTAGAATGGCTTGGCAATCTTTTGATATTTGAGTATATAATCCTGCTACGTAGGTCAGGAGAGTAAAAAATAAATTTTGTAGAAATTGTGCCATGTGGCAAACAACTCTGGGCCTTCCCCCTAACCCAGCAGAATCCCATGGCCAACTGTTCTTTGCATAGCAAACTTTTCTTCACTGTAAACATACCATCACGCCCTGGGGGCTTTAAAATAATGTTTGCTACTGGCAGGTGATGCCAATGTCTGTGGCCACCTGGAGCAGGATCTATCATGTCTCAGTGATCACAGGTGGCTTTGGTCCAAAGCACTGTAACTGGACCTTTATTCACTTCAAAAGAAACGAGGCTTTCTTCATGCTGTTGATCTCCATTGAAGAGCTCCCTCAAAGGTCCATCTCAGTAAATCCTTGACTGCTTTCAGGGCCCAGACCTTGGTTTATCTGCTCCAATAAGCTTTTCTCTCTCTCTTCTCTCCTTAAATCTCTATTTCCTTGCCACGAGGACACCCTGTGGTTTAGTGCTGATACAGTGTACTCCTTGAATCTGCTGTTGAATTATTTCTCATGTATTAAGACTTGGATATAGCCTCATACCTTTTACTACCCTTCCTCTTCCCACAGGACCTAGTACAGTGCTCCCAAGCTGTGCTACTTAAAAGGTTGCCAGCCAGCTGGCTAAGCCCCGACATTCTTATAATAGCCATCATGTTGGAACAGCCACCAAGCTAACAATGGGGCTACATTCTCAGAGTCAGGCAGTTGATACACTGCCCAACTCCAGGAGGCACCAGTCACATGAAGCAAATGCCATCCACTGGAGTCGTACAGCATGGCATCCCTGAGTGTCCTAGGTCTACACATGATCTATATAATGTTTATATATTCCTGCATTATATGTCTTGGTCTGGAGTATTCTCTACCACCTTCCTTGAAATTTTTGTCCATTTCAATGAGAAGTTAAAAATTAGGAGTGACTCTAACCCTTTTGTATGCCAAGATAATGCTTTCAGAATGAGGTCCTGGATCCTGGCATCAGAAGAACCTGGAGTGCTGGCTAAAATGCAGTGTTTTCAGTCCCTCAACATGTTTAAATCAGTTTAGGACGAGGGCTGGGATTTTGATAAACTGTGTTGACTGATTTATATGCAGTATCCTGAAGTGTTGAGAAATGACTGTTGAATAGTTTCTTAGTAAGGGAAACTGTAGTGCCCCAAAGCGTTAATACTGCTGTCCTTAACCTGTTGCATTATCTATTGTAAACATTTTCTGGCTCATTTAAAGTCAGCAACTATTTAGTGAGCAGTTGTTCTCTGCCTACCACTCTGCCAGCCATAGTGGTAGAATCAGAAGCCAGCTATCGTAGTAGAATCAGATGTGAAGAATAGGGTATTCGCTGTCAAGGGACTAATAATTAGGAAATAAAACATGTACAATACATGTGTACAAATACATTAATGTATGTATATACATATACATAGTGATTTATATAAGATCATCTGGAGATCTTTTTTATATAAATCTAGTATACTATACTCTAGAAGAGAGTTCTTTTTTCAAACAAATTATTATGGGTAGTACAGGCCTATAGGATTTTCAGATTTTAGATCTGAGACATATCTTAAGGATAATAGCTCTATCCTGCAGAGAAGATTTGAGTACATTAGCCAGGCATTTTATAAAGAGAGAGACACACACTCTATGGAATAGTACAAAAAACTGTAATGTTCAAAGTTTTGGATTCAAATGTGAGCTCTAGTAAGCAGTAAATGGTAGTTACTTTAATTATAGATAAATAAGATTGTTGTTTATGGTGAGACACATTTTAAATTCATTCACTAACATTAGAAAAACTTAAACTTACTTTTATGTATACTTATAATTTCAGACCATAAAAATAGATAATAAGTGCCTTCGCTTTATATACCAACTATTTAATACCTTCTTTTACTTTCTATGGGAAAGAGATTGAAAGAGAGATCAAGAAGGGGAACGATTTTATTTTTGACAGTCATCCAATGATTATTACATTAAAACCTTATTTCACTGGAATGCTTGGCAGAAAGGAATCTTCAAGTTAACTGAGGATAAATTAGAAAACCATTTTTTCTTGTATATGATTTCTCAAAAATTTTATTCTAGTATAAAACTTTTATAGTGTGAAAAAAATTCTTTCAGTCACATCTTTATCATTTGAACATTATTTCTCATTAGATGATTTATTCATCTAGATTAGAAGATTATGGGAGCCTTTGTTAAATCTTTACTGGGCCTGCTTCCTATAGCAGACACTTACACCCAGACAGAAACTTAAATCCAGAGAGGAGCCATAGATTATTTGGTTAGTATGTTTTGCACTGAAGAAAGTCATGTTTTAAGATATTAAGGGACTTAAAGCCATTAGAACAATACCTGGAACATGGTGAGTGCCCAAGATATTTTAGCTATTCGTGGCATTTGAATCCATGTCATTTGAATTTCAGTTTGGTTATTTCTTTTCAGAAATCTTCTACTCAATTCCTTTTATTGACCCCAGTCTGACCCACTGAGAATGTTTTATTTTGTTTTTCCTTTAAATCCTAATTCTGGATTCACTTCATTTTCCTTATATCTTATCGTTTTTTTCCCTAAAAGTAGGGAAGACAGAATAAATTCAGAGAAAAGGTTGTACTTTAAAACTTTTATTGTCCTCATCAAGGCCAGCCTGAGGATTTCTGCCAACTTTTATAAAATTTGTGCCCAGCGTAATCCTCATTTTTACTGCCTTCTCTGTGCAAATACACACCCAACTTTATGCTAATGGTGGCACTACTGTTTCTTCATGGCAAGGCTTTAAAACTTTCTGGAAACTTTAAAAGCATGGAATAAAAACTATGGGTATAATGGGGGTAGAGGTAGGAAAACTGGGGGGAATCCATAGACACATATGCCAAAAATTGTGGCACTTTTCAGAGGACTAAATAACTTTCTTCTTGTTTCTTTTTTTTTTAAGAAAATAGAAGCAAAACAGCAAAAATGTATCAAGCACAGTTTGCTCATAAAAATGAGCAGGTTTGGTAGATATATTTAAAGCTGTGAAAGTCAGGAAAAAATATTAATATGGTAATAATTTGTATATCCTCCACCCTCTAAACACACACTTTTGTCAAGAGGAGGTGGGAGGCTAAAAATAAAACATGAAGCTTTAGAAAAGTAAGGTTTTTTATATATTTTTTTCTTTTCTTTTCTCTCTGTCAGTCCTCTTACAGTTTTTCTGTAGAGGCCAAAAAGAGATGTTAAGCCAGGACAAGCACATTCAGTGGCCCATCTTAAATGGGATTATTTGAACAATTTGAGAACTCTTGGGTCAAGCCAGAAGAGTACAGTGGAAAGTCAAAGACTTGGGCTGCTGCTGGCTTTTCTCCCCATTTTATTTGTCTTCAAGTGCAGCTCAATATATTGTTGGACTTTTTCAAGCACAGAAACAGCCTTAGGGGTGTTAAATATGTGTGTCAGATTTTTTCCTAATGGATTTCTAAATCTTCCAAAAATTTTTCAGTGACTGTTAAAGGCTGTATGTAACACTTGTATCTTGTGGTATGTGTGATTGTGTATGTATGTGTTTCCTACAACTAAGATTGAATTCTGTCCTCTGTACCTAGAAAATAATCATTATTTATTGAAACAAAAACGAATGAGATGATAATAGTTTTAGCTTACTACTTGGGTTTCCTATAGCCTTTAGGGTGTGTGTATGTGTGTGTGTCTTCTTGATTTTTTTTCCACCTTTGTTTTGTTTGGTGGGATTCTTGACTTGGATTTCTTAACTAATTCCATGAGAATTCTTTTATTTCTGCCATAGTTTTGTAATCTATGTGTCTGTTTAAAATTAAATTACTTTTTTTATAAGAAAAAGCAATATCCATTTAATAACAGATCTTATCAGAAAGAACCTGATTTACTTAGTTTTAATCAATCTTTCTTTTCTCTTTTCAGAGGATGTTAAGCAAGTTTTTGGACAGACCACAATTCATCAACATATTCCATTTAACTGGGACTCAGAATTTGTGCAACTACATTTTGGAAAAGAAAGAAAAAGACACCTGACATATGCGGAATTTACTCAGTTTTTATTGGTGGGTCTAGCTCTTAAAAAGTTAAAAAGGTGAATAAGTATACCTGGAATCAAATTGTGTGTAAAAATCCTGATTTGAGTCTTGAACTGTGATTTGCTACATACTTTCTAGCCTGGCAAAACTGTTCCATTGAGAAGTATTTCTTTACTAATATGTTGAAATCATAGAATTAAATGAGCTGTCCACAGATTATGTAGAACTCCATGTTTAGAAGGAACGCACATTGAGGCCCCGGGAAATCAAGTGATTTCCTCAAGGTCACTTAGGTCGGGAGGGGCAAAATTATAACTTAAAATTTGGGCTTGTGACTGGCTCTGTTACTACTTACCAATATTTTGTTTCCACTGAGAAATGGGTAGATTTGTCATCAGCTTCAGAATAATTTCATCTGACACCTTTTATAGACAAGGCACTAGTCTCAAACTTGGCTCCATATTGGAATAACCTGGAAGCTTTAAAAATGATTGTTGCCTCAGTCCCACCTCTAGAGATTAGATTTATTGGGGGCAGGGGGAACACCTGGGTATTTGGGGGCTATTTAAAGCTTCTTGGGGTGCCAATAGAGAACCACTGTGCTAAGGGCACTTGCTCACTTGCTTCCTGTGGGTTAATTGCTGTAGGAGTTCTCTTGGTTTCTGGGATGCACTTTCCCTAACCCAGTCCCTGCTGCCCTTCTCTCGTGACCCCCTTCCTCCACCCATCATTGTGCCACTGATGATGCCAGGAGAAGAGTATTCACAAAGTAAGATTATAACTTAGTTTTCCTTTTGCAGCGTTATTTCAAAGTACTTGAAATACAACATTATCATTTAGTCACTAGAGATCAGTATCTATATATTATGTAGATGTTTATGCATTTGCTTTGCTTCTAACAGTTATATTTATACTTTATTAAATATATTTAAAAAGACTCACATAAGGGGATTCATTTGATACGTTTAAATTTTGGGTCTTGAGGAAAAATGTCAATTCTTTGTTACTAGAAAAGTCCTTAGTGGGTATCCTGGTGCCCCCAGCTTTTTGGTATATTCCAGACCTTACCAGAGCCCTCTGGGGAGTGGTTGGAATCCTGTTCTGGGTGGAGGTGGAGGGTGCATGGGCTGTGGTAAGGATTTTGTTGTGTTCATTCTTAGCGACTAGCATTTGTGATAGGTTAACTTCAATAGGCGCTTCTCTTTTTGGCTTGTAATGGTATTGTTATGATACATATAAGTTGTCCTGCTGTCTAGTTTGCTTTTATTTTCCAGGCCTTCAGAAACATAAAGCAAGACGCCCTAAACCTGCCTTTCTATTTTTTAAAAATACGTTAATGTCAGTGAATCCCTGTTTTCAGTTCTCTGTAAACATAAACCTACTTACCTAACTCAGATGGAGAATGTAATGTGAGTTGCTGGATTTTTGCTGCTGTTTCCATAGGACAATGTTGTGCTGTAGGAGGCGATATTCATTTTGATGAGGAATAATTACAGTAATGTTATTGAGACAAATGCCTCAAATTGACTTTATGGAACACAGCCTAATTAACTTTTAGTCTTAATGGGATGTTAGCAGTAGGAAGGATGATCGCGTTTCCTCCTCTAAGCAAGTGTCAATTATACTGAATTGAGTCGATTTTCAACTGCTCACAGCAGCCTCTAGGCCTTCCTCCAGGTACAGGAAAGCCAGAGTCCAGGATTAAATGACTCAAGGATTATGGTTACGTTTCCAAACGATTTGTAGGGTATTCACTTAAATTTGACTTCATTCTATAATGGTAAATGGAAACATCCCACAGTGTCCTGCATGGGATAATTTTTGTCTCTGTAGTCAGAATAGAAGCACTGAATTTTTACTAGATTACAGTGGTTATAGTGCTTAATGATCTCAGTCAGGGCCTTGTTCTGTGTCCTACTCCAGACCCAGATTTACAGGAATGAATGGATGGACCATGATAGGCTTTACCTGAGTGCCAGTTTTAATTGGGTTCATTCCTTCCATTTCAAATGTTTTGTTTGCTTCCTTTGAACTCTTTTCTGAATGCAGCTAACTTCTTAAAGATAAAAGTGAATTTAATCTCCTGTGTTTCAGGCTCTTGCTTTGTTAGGCAAGTATCCACCTTTCTGCTCTAGGGCAGGACTCAGAAACAGGCACTAGCTCCCTGGCTGGTGCCACTAGCTCCCTGGCTGGTGCCAAGGCTGTGAAGGCAGATGCTTGGCTGTTTGAAATGTGAACAAGCTGCCACCATGCATGCTGCTACCTGTCACATGATGAGGAAGGGGAGCAGCTGTAGGGACAGCCAAGAAGTACTTGTGATTTCAGGAAACCAGAGCAGCATGTAGAGACAGCACTCCTCTATTCCACTGAGGAACCCTAGAAGGTAGCTCAGGTTGGTTCCAGTCAGCACATGTCTTACCTGTGTTTATGTGTGTGTATATATGTGGGTGATTGGTGGGGCATTGCAGTTCTCTGCAAGTTCTATTTTTTTTTTTTTTTTGTCATTTAATAAATGTTTTTATTGTTTCCAAGCAAGTGTGAGTTTCTTAGAAACCACGGCGTGGCTGTGAGGATCTTACTTGGGTCATGTGTTTATGTAGAGTCTGGGCAGGTCCCCACCCACTAAGGTGTTGGCAGTCCTGGGCATTGCTTGCGTGGTGAACTGCTATGTTCTTTTCTGTGCTTTGGTTGTAAAAGTCATAAAGTGGTGAATCAATTTGATATTATTTGAGCTAAACTTGACTGATTTGTACTTTGCATCTAATAACATTCAGCAAGTGGCAAGGATACGAAGCCTCCTTCCTGTAGTCTTCTTCCTCATTGGAATGGAAATATTTCAGCAGGGAGTGGGGTCACATTTCTCTTACCCCATGGTTTATACTGATGGTATGTGTGAATGTGAATTTATGTGTATTTAAAAATATCTCCACATGTGTCTACTCTGAACTCCTAGAGCAAAGCTCTAATTTTATAGCTATTAGTTTTAAAATAGATTAAAATAAATTTTAATATTCTTTGTATTTTAGAAAATAATTTGGAGAAATATTCTATTCTATACCTGATGGAATTGCAGTTCATAAATAGTTTTAACCTAAATCTCAGTATTTTTTGTGTGTTGTGATTATTACTCATGTCAGGCAAACCATCCAATTCAGCAAATATTTGCTGAGCATGTTGGGTTTGTCAAGAGGACTTGTGCAAAGGATTGAAAGGTGCAGAGACTATAACTCTTGAGATACTTATAATGTGAAAATCTAGGAATTGTACCTGTCAGTCCAAAAGGAGCAACTACAAGTAAGTATAAAATGTGTGCCCTATGAGTTTGTTTTGTAGCAAAAACACTCAAAGGTTTGTGGCATAAACCTTCATAGCAGGCATTCAGATCCTTTGCCAACTTTTTTTTCCTTCTTCCTTCTTTCCTTCCTTCCTTCCTTCCTTCCTTCCTTCCTTCCTTCCTTCCTTCCTTCCTTCCTTCCTTCCTTCCCTTTCTCCCTCCTTCCCTCCCTCCCTTTGTCCTTCCTTCCTTCCTTCTTTCCTTCTTTCTTTCTTTTTTTGAGACAAGGTCTTACTCTGTTACCCAGGCTAGAGTACCGTGGTGCATTAGAGCTCACTACAACTTTGAATGCCAGGACTCAAGTGATCATACCACCTCAACCTCCTGAGTGCCTGGGACCATAGGCATACACCACTAATTTTTTTGTAGAGAGGGGGTCTCACTGTGTTGCTCAGGCTGGTCTCAAACTCCTGGCCTCAAACAGTCCTCCTGCTGTGGCCTCCCAGAGTACTGGGATTATAGGTGTGAGTCACATGGCTGGCCCCTTTGACAACTTTTTATTTTTTGAGACAGTTTCTTAATCTGTCACTCGGGCTGGAGTGCAGTGGTGCAATCATGGCTCACCACATCCTTGACTTTCTCAAATCTGGGCTCAAGCAATTTACCCGCCTCAGCCTTCCAGAGTATCTGGGACTACAGGCACACCCACCTTGCCCAGCTAATTTTTGTATGTTTGTAGGGATATGGTCTCCCCCTGTTGCCCAGGCTGATCTAAAACTACTGGGCTCAAATGATTCACCTGGCTTGGCCTCTCAAAGTGCTGGGATTACAGGCATGAGCCACCGTGCCCAGCCCTATTTTTTTTTTTATTGGGTGAATGTTGTAGGCACTTGAGGGCACAGAATGAAAGCTTTCTAAAACCTTTCTGCCAAATTATTGTGTAGTGAGTACTGAGTCACTTTCAAAAAAGTTACAATAACTAATATCTGTATAATGTTTATAATTTACAAGGTGCTTTTAAATATTCTGTTTCTGATAATAGCATCCTCCCAATACCCTAAAAGGTAATTATTATTGTCCCCTATTATATGCAAAAGAATAAACTTACTTTAGGGTAAAATTTTGCATTTACTAGTATTTTTCCGGGGAAATGGCCCATAGTTTTATGTTTCCAAAGAAATATCCCAAAAGAGTGGTAAAGAGCAGCTGTTCTAGAGCTTAGCTTCTGCAGTCAGATGACAGGTATGTGATGAATTCAAGAATATGATGCTGTTCCCACTCTATTGCACTGTCTCCAGGCCTAAAGCTATAGATAGTTATTTTCTGTTCCTGGAAGGTACCCTGCATCTGAATGGCAGTACACAGTCATGCATTGCTAAATATCTAGCATCCCTGACCCCTACCCATTAATTGCCAGATATGATCATCAACACGTTCTTAGTAGGGGTGCATGGTACTGTCACTTCCAGGTTTTTCTTTTTATACTGTTTTATAATCTTGGGTATATATTTTACATGTAATTATTTTAATTTGAAAACAGTCTACACATAGGAGTTTCCAGTGGTTCCAATCTCAGGATAGAAAAGTATATGATTACCACCAAATTCAGTATTTCTGTTAACTGGAACAACATCGTTATTAGCTACCTTTCATATAGCGTTTTCCAGCTAAGAAAGTTCTTGTACTTGTATTAGTATTTGTCCTTATAGTAACCTTAGGTGTTAAGCTAAGTAAGGCAGTTGGTGTTGTTTCC